GTGTCTAGTAGAAATTTGTTATCCAATTTCTGCTAGGCCTTCAATGTTCCAAGGCAATCCTTTTACTTCTCCTTGATTGATTTCCTATCCCACTTCCCACAGAAATGTCTCTAAGACATCTCTTCTCTACTTTAACCTCCTGAAGCTTCTCCTCTCTCCATCCTCTCAAATGGGTATCAAACCTCTTAATGTTCTGTTAAGCTCCCATTCTCTATAGCTTAAAACTCCATGACATTCCCTCTTATCTCTTCCTCGCCTCTCATTTCTGATAATAAGATTGCTCTTCTCTTTTTCAACACAAATCATCTATATGTGTCCTTGATTCCATTTACTTTTTAGTTCTACAGCATACTATATTCATCAAAACAATCATCCCTGACTATCTATTCTTCAATCTCTCCTTCCCAACTTCAAGGAAACATGGCTAAGTCTTCCCATTAAAAAACAAACAGAAACCTCTTAGTGGGCCTTCCTAATCTTTCAAGATATAACTTTATTTCTCCTCCCTTTCACAACCAAAATCTTAGGGGGAAAACAACAAACAAACACTTCTATATCCACTTCTCCTCTTACTCTTTACCTCTTGGCAATATGGCTTCTGACCTCATCATTCAACAGAAACCTCTCACCAAAATTACAAAGGTCTCTTAATTGTCAAATCTGTTGGTCATTTAAAAAAATTCTTTCTCTTTCTTGATCTTTCTGCCACACTCAACAATGTTGACTACCCTCTCCTTCTGAAAAATTTGCCTTCCTTCTTTTCTCTGACATTGCTACTTACTGGCTCTTCTCTTTTGTTTGTCTGCCCCTTTTCAGTTTCTTTTGCTGGTTCACTATCTATATCTTAAGCCCTAAATGGAATATTATCATAAGGTTCTGCTCTGGGCTCTCTTCTTTTCTCTCTTCACATTCTACCAGTAAATTCGTTAGCAATTTAAATAGAATCTCTATCCAAATGACTCCCAGATCTAAATATCCAGCCCTAATCCCCCAAGTTCCAGTCATATGTCACCAATTGCCAACTAAATATTTCAAACTGGATGCCCTGAAGATATTGAAAAGTTAGCATGTCCAGAACAGAACTCATTAACTTTCCTTCACACATCATCCTCAAACAAGACTTCCTATTTTACCATGTAATAAAAGTATCTTTAAATTTAAACATTTTAAAGCTGCTATTTTCTTAACTTTACATTTCCTTTGACTTTATAAAAGATGATAATTTAATCTGCTGAATGTTATGACAGAGCAGATCAAACTCAGTTTCAGGAGAAATAAGGACTATCTTCAAGGTGGGTGTAACTGTAGAGGAAATGGACTTGGCATATACCTGTATGAAAGCACAATTAGCAATGAAATAGTGGCCTGTTTGCAGCATTTTCAATAGATCCTTTTTAAGTTTCCTGGTTTCAGGATTGTAGATGAGTCTCTCAAAGAAAACAAAGAAGGTCACATTCTGATAAAATAGAGACAGGGTTGCTAAAGCTGCTTTATGAGCTAAATTTACTTAAACCAGAGAACAACTGAATGAGTTTCTTTGAGGTTGATTTAAACCATTATGGCTTCACATTTCTTCTGATGGATGAATTTTTCTGCCAAAGGAATATTTGTTATGATAAGAGACATACAAGTGACTTACCTGTCCCTGTTAATTATCATTTAGGGAAGGAAACATAAACATTTTTGCATAATTCAGAATGTGCTCAGGACTTCAGAAATCTTTTTTTCTCCCCTTTACCTTATGGGTGAGAGACAGATTTGTAAAAATTCCCAGACTATTACTGAACATGATATATTTAGGAGGGCAGACATTACACATTCATATCAGAAAATTGGATTTATTCCTCATGGACTATTACAAGTTATAACAAATTCCTAGATTTATCTTTGTGGTATATTCTGATATTCTCATCTCTAGGAATCATATCCCATATGAATTTTAATACCTTTGTATAAACATATATGGATATGATATTCAGTTCATTAAATAATCTTTTGGGGTTGTTTATCTATCTGTGCTTGTGAATCCTGTGATGTCTCATTACCCTGCATGCTTATTATATTGGATGCCTTGATTCATTTTAAGGTCTCCCTGAGATCTTTTAGCTGGCACCCATCTAGGTGATGGAGATGAAGTATTTGCAAAGTACTATCTAGTCACATATCATGGCAGCATAATGAATAACCAGGATTCTCCTAATAATTCATTTGGAGTGAAAACTGACTTGCTCACATAAGTTCTCAAAACCTGACTAGAACATAATAAGCTCAAAATAAATGTATATAATTTTTCTTTTCCTTGTTCCTCTCAACTTTTCCCTTCTCCTCAACTTGCTCCCTACCCCCCCCAAAAAAGAAACAAACAAAATGCTTTTGATACTTTACTAAGAACTGTCATATGGGATCCTAGGTTCAAATTGAACCTTTGTTTGTGTGCTTGTTATGGGCATCTGTAAAAGTAGGTATCAAAAGCCAGGTTCCTGTTGAGTTTACATGTACATGCCTCAGAGCTATAGGTTTTCCCGGTCCATTTCCCCTAAATGCACAGAGGGAACTAAGTCAGGTACAAATGATCTGAAGCTTCCTTTTTGGGAAGCCAAATAATTGGGTGATGATTTCATCCAATTATCATCACATCCACTTTTTTTTTCTATTGCTTGATAGTTTTGCAAGATACTTTATCATAACAGATGTGTCAGGTAGATGGCCTGTTTTCCCATTACAGAAGAGAAAGTTAAAAATGTTCAGAGAGGTTAAGTGCCAAGTGTGTAGGGTTTCACAACCAGTGTTCTGATATCATGAGATTAAGTTCTATGGTTGACTGGCTATATTTTTTAAGTTTTCATCCAGATCATAGTATTAGCTACTGCCCCTTTCTTAAGTGGACATTTAAAAAAAATTTACTGAAAAGCAGCAGAAGAAAAGACATTTCATGTGAAACACACATGAAAAGACCTTGAGAAAAAAAGTTTCTGTTGAGGATCTTGAGAACGAGAGAAGAGGGACAGTTTCTCAGATAAAAGGAACGAGAAGATCTGAGTAAAAGTAGAGCAGAGGAAAATGTACTGATGACAGAGATGAGTACAGTACATTGTCCACCAGCAACTAATTTAAATAGGATTGTTTTCAGAACATCAGAATTTATTACTGGGGAAACTTAGTATCAAAGAAAAAATTTGAGGACTATTATATAATGACTATTTGTGTTATATCAAACAAAATGTGAATTTTGGGTTTCTCAGCCTATGTTAGAGATGGGTCACTTTGCATGAAGGATCTCGGATTTGAGACATTAGAAGGCAGAGTAGAGGATAAACATCAGAAAGCAGATCAGGAGTCAGTGACCAAAGAAGCTAAATGTAGGAGAGAGATCAGAGAAGCTGAGAAGCTCTTTCAAAGAGCCAAGACACCAGAAGCTATTATTACTGAGAGGCTAACAAAACCAATACCAGCTCACTTCTCTGCTTTTGATGTGGGAAGTGGATCTGATTGGAGGAAAGCTCTACTTCTTGAAAGAACTGATTGGAGGAAAGATGAACCTTCTACAGTGTCTGAAAAGCTGACCAGGGAAAGGGCTGTCTTGCTCTCTAACACCACCTGCAGCTTGACACAGGGGAAAGCTCAACAGTTCCCCTACATCCTTTTACTTTCCTCTATGACTCAGACTTTAGAAAGCAAAACATAAAGATCTATTTTTAAGAATGTTTACTTAAGAATGAGCAGTATCATTTAGGCTGATGTGTATGAAGCTGTATATTTCTTCCACGTTAGGGTTGCCCTAAATAACCTTTGTTGTAGGCATAGACAATCCTAGTCTGTGAACCCCATCCACCCCCACTAAGGATTGCCAGTGTGCATTCAGGTTGTGGTGAGTGAATCAGGTCAGTTAAAGAAAAAGGAGGTTTCTGATGCTGCTTCAGGGACCTTACCCTCTATACACACTGAAATAATATCATAGGATTATAGATATAGAACTCAAATGGACCCAAGTTTATAAGACATCTAGGCTGACTCTATTTCTCTGTGTCTCTCTGACTGTCTGTCTATCCACCTCTGTCACTCTCATTTTACCCATGAGGAAATGGAGGTCAAGAAAGTTGAAGTGACTTGCCCAGTGGAGGCATGAAATGGCAGTTGTAAGATTCAAACCTAAGTCTTGTGACTCTAACTTCATCCCTCTTTCTATGTCACCATGTATGGTCAATTAGAGCTCAAGTAGCCCTTCTTTTGAACATTTTTTCATCACCTTGAAAACATACCTAAACATCAATTAGTGAAATTCCAAATTATTTCAGATATCTACAAGTAGATTAAAAATTCCTGAATTATTGGTGCCTGTTGAATGCAACACAGTATTTTTCAGGAGCAAGGGCTGATATGAGGGATCTTATCTTAGTCTGATGATTGACTTGGGCTTTTTTCTTCCTTTCTTTTTTTAAGGGCATGGATAGCTATACTTCTGGGAGCTATTTTTATTCTCTGAAGCATGCTGCACTTTTCTCTGGAAATTATACAGTAAGAAAATGTTCTATGTTGCCCCAGTTGCCTAAAATAAACACATTACTTCCATCTAAACTCTCTTTTACCTACATGGACAATAGCCTCTGAAAGAAAACACTTAAAGTTGGTTCCATTAGAACATTCACATAACTCATTGCTTTTCATCTTTATCCCTTTACATCAAATGGCTGATGGATTTCATATTTTGAATGCAGCCAATTCACATGAAATCAATATAAAAATTCCAAAAGGACTCTAAACAGGGAAAGTGAAGTTAAGTGTGTCTGTCTCACAGGAGACTGCAAGAAACTTGACCACACAATAGATCTTTCTTTCACATTTTGGTTTTGGCATAAAGGGTGCATGTTAATTTACTGAGAATGTTCACCACAGTTCTGCTGCTACCATAAGTACTGTGGAGGGAAGTTTTTAAAGCTCTCTCTAAAGCTACTTTGGAAAAATTTCATAGAAGCAGATTGACAGCAAGAAAAGTTTCAAACCTTTTAATGTTCTGAAAACAATGGGGTCAGAGAGAGGCCCCACTCCTTTGGAATTTCGGGCTTGGATTCTAAAGTAGTACACAGTGTCAAGGTTAAGATCCATAATTTGATGAGTCAGTCGATCACCACTGATTGATTCCATAATCCAGTCATCAATTGGTGTATTTTTGTCCAAAGTATAAAAGAGGATGTAAGCTGCAAAAACAAAAAATATTGAGGGTGTTAATAAATGGAACTGCATGTTGCCATTTTGGTTCAAACCACATTTGCTTTCCTGTTATTATTTATGTTGGTAGTACATTAAAAAATATAGTATAGTACTATACTTGTAAGTAATGATTTTCACCCCCACCCACATATATCATTGGAGTTGAATAAATAATGCTGCAGCAATGCTCAATATTTCTATGAGTAAAGGATCATTAGAAACAAAAAAATTGAATAAATTTCAAAATAAATTTTATGTTACTCATAAATTCTCGCTGTCAAGTTTGCTGGTATCATGAAGATGAAAACAGGTGAATATAGAGATGAAAGTTTTTTGTACTTTGACTGTAGAGGGACAATAAAATTTATTTTGCTATAAAAATTCTTCTCTAATGTCTCATTAAGGTATGCAGTTAACCAAGTTTCTCTCTCTAGCACAGTGAATTGAAGCCAAGTACAGAGAGGCTCTTTGGAAGATAATCACTAAGTGATTAATTATTTGTGTAACAAAGAAAAATGCAAATGGACCTTAGTTTTATGTGGCACCCTTCTGTTCTTGAAGTAATGATGGAAGAATGCTGGAAAAGAGGGAAAGAGATGCTAACATTGTACTACCTATTAATGTTAACTAAAGGTATACTAAGTAATTATTGTGAGCAGGTCTCCTCTGATGGTCAACATTTAGTGGATATAATATTGAAATTGACATCTTTTCATCTTTATGTAAAGATGAAACCAGAAGACAAAAAGAAGTTTCATATAAATAGAAGGATAGATAATAGGTCTTGCTCATTGTTTCAAATAATGGAATGTATCCAAGTGCCACCAGAAACATTAATTCAGGAAACCCATAGTTAGAATGCCTTGCAGTTCCCAAGATAAGCATAAGTAATAAGACCACCATGAAGATAATTGCTGTTATCTCTATCACGAATTCCATGAAGCCATTGTTGAATCAAGAAGAAGCTTTATTAATGACCTGGGAAGGCTGGGTGTCCCACGTGTGTGAGAACACACATGTGTGAGAGCACATGTGTGGACAGATGCACACCTTTTTATTTCCTATTCCTGATTAGAATTTCCTTCCCCCATTTGCCCATTGGCTAGGTACTATAGAGGTTACAGCCTATCCAAAGTGCCAAATTTCCCCATGTGTGTCTCCCTCACCATTTACATCTCCCATTCCCCACAATTTGGCCACCCCAGCCCTTATTTGAGTATGCCCACTCCCCTTCTGCTTGGGATATAGACATGCTAATCTATATCTAATCTCAGAACCTGTTTTCCACAGATTACTCTATTTACCTACCAACAGTGTATTCTTATTCTAATTTATGGCTTTCCTTATTCAACTTCCAACTAGCTCCAAGATTTCACCCCTGTGGAAATGAAAACCAGCCATTTCCCACACTCCCTCCCAGTCCAAACTGACTCCAATGCTGTCACATAGGCATTCAAAACCTGACTGAGTGCCACTCTTTAATGGAAAGATGCACACGTGGGAGGATAGTGAAAAATATGTTGGAAAATGTGGATTTTATATGTGTGTGTGTGTGTATAATATGCAAATATTTATCACATTTTAAGTTATATATATACATGTGTATATATGTATATGTGTGTACATATATATATATATGTATATATATATATATACATATATATATATATACACACACACACACATACACCATAATATACATGATACATAAAACAGAAAATATTTTAAAGTATATGTTAGGTAATCTATTTTATATAATGTATTTATTATGCTACATATTAGACTTAAAAGGCCAAAAAAACTAAAGACTATGCAAGAGTATCCCACCTATCTTTTATTAAATGCTTTTTTTAAAAAGAAAAATAATCATTAGATTGGAGATGCTGAACATGTTGAAGCTCTTTTAATGATCACTTCATCCTTTAAAAAATTGTAGACACCAGCAAGGAGGAATTCTCTTACCAGCAAAAAGGAATTCATTTTTAAAGTGAAAATGCTGAGAGGATGGGGGATAGACTACTTCATCCATAGGGGTGGGGAATCTGTGGCCTGAAGGCTACATGTGACCCTCTAGATCCTCAAGTGCGGCCCTTTAGATTTGGTCAAAGTGTAGCACTGGAAGACCTAGAGAGCCACATGTGGCCTCAAGGCCACAGGTTCCCCACCCCTGATCTAGAATATGTGAAAAAGGAGAGTGAAAAGTGAGGGAAGTATCTGACATGAACCCTAGAATTAGGGAAAACTGATTAAATGATATTTTTCAAGATGAACTTCTGAAGATGAAAAGAGAAATAATTATAGAAAGGAGAGAAAAAAAGGGAATTGTTTAAAAAGATTGATGTGTAAACACAGAGAGTTCACCAACTAAATACTATTTTACAAAGACACATGCTGAAGATCCATGCAAGGCAGGTAATGGAAGATGAACACAAAAGTGTAGCAAAGCACCTTCCCTGGAGTCAGAAGGACCTGAGTTCAAATCCGGCCTCAGACACTTGCTAGCTACCTATGTGACTCTGGGCAAGTTAGTTAACCCTCACTGTTTCCAGGGAAAAAAAAGTGCAGCAAGGTCTTGTAAAAATACAGACTGAAGTGATTAAGGAAAACTAAGAATAGCAAATTTGAAGGCATACTGAGAAAAAGAGGTGGCCCATGGTAGGGAGAGTTCAGTTGTTAAGGCTGAACAAGATGGTTAACTGACAATGGAGACGAGCAGAGAGAGAGAGCCTCGTGGAACTTCTGTTATTTATGTTTCCAACTCTCCTGTTCAGCTTCCTTTTGTGTGCTGTTTTCCCTCATTAGATTGTAAATTCTTTGAGCTCCAGAACTGCCTTTTTTTCATATTTATATCCAGAGTGCTTACTACAGTGTCAGGCATATAGCAGGCACTTAATAAATGTTTGATTATTGACTATTGACTCTGGGTAGTTAAGAATGGACAAATGCAATTCCCGAGCCATTGTCAGTGATGTTGGAAGGTTCTTAGAGAATGGGAGAATTACCAGAAGATTTGGAGAAGGAAGAATATTATTCTAGTTTTCTAGGTGGGATTTGAAACAGTTCTCTGGTTTCAGTGCTATCGCTTTCTACTGTGCCATACTGCCTCTCTAATATAAAAGTTAAAGGAGGTGAAGAGATTAAAGAATTGGGAGGCCAGTATATTTGAACAGAAGGAGTCAGGAATCAGTGATGGGGGCACCTGGACCCCTAAAAGGAAAGGCCCTTGAACTTTCCCACAAATTTCGGCAACCCAGTCCCTGGCATCTGGCCCATTCCAGCCCACCTTCGTTACTTAATTAGCTCACTTGCCACTCCTTGATCCCATCCAGATCTTCCCACAGTCTTTCTGTATAAAAATATCTATCTCATCCTCATTAAATGTGCAGATTCTTAAAATATGGCCCACTTGTATTGGCATCACAAATAGCGCAGACTCACTAGGAGTCTGGCCGACTTCTACTGATAGTACAATAAACTTGCTACTTGGCCTAAAAGAAGGCTTGAGTGGTTGAATTCTTTTGAGGCAGACTCTTGCCCTTGGATTTTGGGGCTCCCAGCAACCCTAGAAGGCAACATCAGGGCCCAGAAGAATTCAGTAAACTAGATCCTAAATTTGGTGGAGTGATAGAAAGTGTCCTGCAGCTCATAACTAAAAGCAACAAGAAACTTTGTAGGATAGAGGGAACTTCAAGAGAAAGGAAGCTGTTAATAATGATGGCAGAAGAGAGCCTGAACATGACAGTAGAGAACAAGGAGTATACCAACTCTCCTGTTCTTGTGTGTTAGGGAATACGAAGAATAACAGTATCTTCAGAAGAAGTCTAGGTTTCACTGAGCATCAGATGATGTAAAGTATTTTCAAGTTAAAAATCTAGAATAGAGACCTTCCTTAAGTGCCCCTGTCCTTGCATGATTATCATTGGGGCACGTGTGTCATTCTTTGGCTATTTCTCATTTTCACCATGTGATGGGCCTATTTTCTTTCTTAGGACTTCATCATTCTAATCATACTTTGCAAAGGCTCTTCCATGATTTTACTTATTAGTTGTTACGCTCTAGTGTGCTTGTGCCCACCATGCCTGCCTGCCTCCCTCTCTCTCCCTCTCTCTCTCTCTCTCTCTCTCTCTCTCTCTCTCTCTCTCTCTCTCTCTCTCTCTCTCTCTCTTATTCCCTTTCTGTGGTTCTCAACTTTAATTTTTTGAAGACTGTGGAGTTCCATGTCTTGAAGGCAGACAGTTGAGGTAGTTAGGTTGCTAAGTAGATAGAAGGCTAGGCTCAGAGACAAGAAGACATAAGTCTGAATCTAGACCCAGACCTATACTAGCTGAATGAACCTGGACAAGTTATTTAACCTCTCTCAACCTCAGTTTTTCCATTTCAAAACTGGGGGAAATAATAACACTTTCCTCCCAAGGTTATTGGGAGTATCAAGTGACATTAATATACATGAAATACTTGTTGAACCTTAAAATGCTATGAAACCATAACATTTACACCATCCTCAAAATAATACTGATGTTAAAAGTTGGGCCTTCATTTCAGAAAGAATTTGAGGCCATTTAAAACACTGCAAAATACCAAAATGCAAACCAGCCTATCTCTTGTTCCTGTATAGTTCTGAGCCCAACTCACTGTTCTCATTTGGAATTATTCTATATAATACTGATCTATGACTATTGGACAAAGGATGATCTACAGTTGTACAGGCTGCCTAGAGCTGGTAAATCAGCACATTATTCTTAAGCAGATATTGTACTTGGGCCCAGAATTGAACAGGAGGAAGAGAGTGGTCCAGGTTGCCTTTGGAAAAGAATACAGTAGTTTTAATCATACCAAGTTTCTCTTTGAAGAACAGGTTCTCTCTCTCTCTCTCTCTCTCTCTCTCTCTCTTCTCTCTCTCTCTCTCTCTCTCTCTCTCTCTCTCTCTCACACACACACACACACACACACACACATTAAATATGTATGTATATTCTGATGGCTAATG